TTCTAGATTTAACGATTAAAAGTGTCAATAATAAGATAGAATTATAAGTTTACAGAAAACCCACCACCACTAACAATATTATCCACTTTTCCTCTTTCCACCCGTTGCAACACAAGCTTGCTTCTTTTAGATTCTTCTTCAATAGACTTTTTAATTTACCTTTGAATAAATTAAATTTCGATACAGAACTGAAAATAATCTACCAATTACCACTTCAAAACATATCCAAAAACTCCAATTTAGAATCCTAAATCATCAAAATTTGGAAAATTCCACTACTCTTTCCGTCACACTCAATACTCAAAAACCAAATTTGTTTCACTACCTTACAATGGCGAACTCTCCAATACTTTCCAAAATTATTTTCAAAAAACATAACGTTAACATCATTTTCAAATCTAATAACAATTTAAAATCAGTCCTATCTCACACTAAAGATATAATTCCTCTCGTTGATAAATCCGGTATCTATAAACTAATTTGCTGTATATCTGCTAACCACGAAACATAATTTCTTCGATTACCTATGTGTATTTTAAGGATTTTCTTTACCATTCGCATCCCTACAGCTAAAAAATACTAGCTTTCATAAAATGTAACTGGTAATTAGAGAGACACACCGAATTCTTTGTTACTTAAATGCTGCTGTCGAAAGCTTCCTGTATTTAAGTAAAATAGGTAATTAAGATTAGTAACGTTTACAACAAACAATTAGGGTTTAGGTAAACAATTAGAATTTGTGCTACTTGAATGGATTTTCATGATTAAAATTTAAAAAAAAAACAGTAGGTTCAAATAAATACAAAAAAACTTGGGGGTTAAAGAGAGTCTCGCCGAGACTAATGGTGAGACGGGACCAAACCTCGATCCGCGGCATCGCTATATTTTTTTATGGAAATGCCGTATTTAGAGCATTACTAAAAAAATATGGCACACAAAAATTATAGTACCGCATTATGAACTACATAGTCAAATACAACGGTTTACAGAGACTTTTTTTCAATATATATAACATACGGCCAGAAACACTCAGCCAAATGTTTCATCGTTTTAATATGTTTGTTATAAGTTAACCCACTTCAGAAATAAACATATAACACTTCATAATACAAAGTAGCCGATATATTTTTTATGCCATAATCTTTCTGTAATCGTTCAAAAACGAGAGTTTCCATAAAAAGAATGAATCCCGTGAATTCTGCAATAAATTCGATAAATCGATTTCGCTTTTAAAATTGTTGCAGTGATTCACTATTATTGCAGGTAGAATCTGACCTGGAGGTTATCTTTTGTAACGCTACAGTTCCAAATCATTCGTTTATCGGTCGCGAAAGTGTACGTGTCTAGTGCCTTTTCCGTTCCAATCAAAGAAAACTTTGCAAAAGGTATGTAAAATAAAGAAATTTAGATTTTCATTGCAAAGAAGATGAAGTTTCGGAAACGTTTTTGAATTTTCCACCGAGTCGTTTTGAATTCCATTAAATTTTGCACTGATTTTAATTGCAAATTGTAGCCTTTTTGGGGAATGGGAAATGAGCAAGTATTATACGCCCGTGCTGATTACTTGGGTCGTTTTCCGTGAGAATTTCTGATGAATCTCAATCTATTATGATGAAAGCTGCAATGACGAACTCTCAACAAATAAATCCTATCCAAAATGTTTCGTTTTCAGCATCCATCACTTTTCCACTTCACCCATCGTTTCTCTCCATGAAATCCTTTGCTTTCTCAGTTTCTTAGGATCTCGGCATAGGCTCCTTTGGTAGGTTTATCAAGTAATTCACTTTCATTAAATCATTCAGAAATAGCCAATAGAAACAAAGGTTTATTGTGCGTCGCTAACCAACGAAACCATACATTTCTTTCTGTTGGCCATTTCTAAATATAAAGAACGATCTAACGATAATAAATTAATGATAATGGTTGTATAAACCCACCATTACGGAGAATGTAAAATGTATTCTGGAAACACATGGAGCAGTGCAAAAAAATTCTAATTTTGCAAACGAGGAATTCGCATTGAAAGTTTTGTTAAAATACGTACACTATTCGAACCGAAAGTTTCTATGAATTCTATGAATAATTCTTCGGACATTTGGAGTGATTCCGAAAGGATTTGTAGTGGAAATACATCTTCATATATACTATTTAGAATGTCTATAGAAAGTCTCAGACTTGCTGTAACTTGAAATTGCTTCCACTTGTAAACTATTCATAAAAGATAGTAGCTACGGTTTTGTTGCATCAGATGGTTTCTTTGTGTCTTACAATTAATTCCTAATCATTTGTTTAAAATCTTGAAAATTTATATATTAATCTTTTGTTTGTTTTTAAAGGTACATCGGTTGTTATTTAATGATCTTCATGTAGTCGAAACACAATTGAATTGAAAATAGCGAGAGTTAATTATAAAGGGTTTGGCATTTACAATAATTAGCGTAACGATGGAAATTATTCTGCGGTCTTAATCTCCGAAAATTTGTAATTGTAAAGCAGAGTCTAGATCGTACGTTGGTAAAAAATGACGCAAGTATATTTTTTGTATCAAGCCGCAGAAGGCACTAAGCGTAAAATGAAAGAACCTCGTCCATTCCATTATTCAGTTATAACTAGGGATAAAATATTGGAAGCGCTTCATACCAAAACCCAACCTTCTTCGTTAATGAAACCCATTTTTAATACGCATCAATAAATTTCTAGACCCCTACCAAATTGTTTAATTGAATTACCTAAACGAATTAAAGAATGATTAAAAGTTCGGTGTTGAATACGTGCCATCTCGATTTAACTTCCACTTATGTAACAACTTTTATATCAGATATTCTCGTAAAATTGACCCTCGACTTGTTAGATTTATTTTTATATCCCCGATTGAATTTTATTGGGTTTTCAAATCTACAAGACGAGTATTGATCTGATCAGTAAACCACTTAGATCGTAACATATTATAATGGCTCGTAATATTCTTATTGGCGATATCGTAAACTCCTGCAGAAAACAGAAATATAAAAATAGAAATTCATATTCGTGGAAAACTAGCTGACTGGAGGTACTTTAGTATGTTCATAAAACCGTCTCTCTATCTAACGTTCCTTTGAATTTTCAAACCTTTTCACTTGATGGATATGCTGAAAGCGTTTCTTAATCCTATCAAAATAACATTACGTACAGCTTCAAATCTTTATTTGAACTGTGTCGCATGACGTTATCGAACCGGAACATTGCAGTTATGAAAATTTTCGATACACGCTTCAAGATTTATAACTTCGGAGGAAAACCACATTATTTTATACGCCTTTCGAAATAATTCAAAGACGATTTTTTTTATTTTCAAATCGAATCAGTGAATCAACATTTCGATTGCATCTTAATATTCCATATTTGATTTTTTTATTAGCGTTTGGAAGGTTTGCTCGATTTTCCCTTTCGTTCCTCCACTCTAGTTTTATGCATTGCCTCTCTTACGATTTTAAGCGTCAGCCTCACCCAGCGATCGACGCGACGTTTCGATAATTTCACCATCTCTAGATGCGCCACTCATTGCATTACTTTCAACGTATTCCCCCTGACGAATTTATTTCACGATGACAAACACTCGAGTTGTTTAAAATGAATTACGGCGGATTTTTAAATATCTAAAAATGGTACGTAATAGCAATTGGTGTTCTCTAGGGAGACTTTGAAATAAATTGGACAGTATACTACAATTTTTATTGCTTAGGATGTCGTTGTCATATAATGTGCAAAATTCGACGGTCACAAAGGTCCCAAATCTGTAATTCGGCCATATTAAAATTCAGCCATTTATTTTATCGTTTTTGTAATTTATTCAATTTAGATAAGGTGTTAGAAATAAGACACTTCTAGACGTTGCGATAACGGGTCTTATCAGCAAGTGTTTGGCGCATTCCGTGGTTATTTGAAAATTTTTTTATCCTGTTTTATTTTGTTATAGTGCGTCTCATCAGACCTATGGGTTACGAGCCGCTACTGGTCGAAAATCGTAGCTTCATAAAATTATCGCATTCATCCGCCCCCCCCCCCTTTTGCTCAAATATTCGAAAATTACCGACGAGGCCGCAAATTTGATTCGGTAAAACGCAGTAACCTCGTTTTTTAAAACGGAAACAAATGATCCTTTTTTATGGAATGAAACAGCCGGACTAAATATTGTCACGTTCATTTAATTACGTAATTTATTTGTGTACAATTAATTATTAAAGAATTCCGTCCTTCAATAGATTGATTATTATTTATCACTCACTTGTACCCAAATTTATAATATGTAGATGTTAACACGCGAATGTCACTATTATCACTTCGGGTTCGATTTTGGAACTTAAAATGAAACACGATTCAATTTGCATATACCGCACACAAAAACTTCGAAAACATTATCGGCTGTGACTAATCTTTCATCGCGCCGTGATCTCGCTCTAGAATATTCGCTACAATATATTAATAGATTTTTACGTTTTGTACAATTTTCTTCGCAGTGGAAAATTAAAAAATAAGCCTTCGCACTTTATCCGCCGACAGTAAATTTTCAGGTGCAATATCACCAATCTTTTGTTAATAATTACAATTCTTAGAGACAGCAATGTATTCCTTATTTTAAGATCGTGGGAAGATGCTGTTTATTTCAGCAAAATTAAACCTTCTTACTTGTACAGGACGCGTCCTGGTATACTCCTGGCTCATTTATTAACAAATGCGAGGCTTTAATTTTAATATACCTGGCGCATCTTTGATTACACGCACATTCTCCTAACAAACGTCACATCAAAGACGAAAGTCTTCGAAAGAGAATTAAAATTGTAGCCTCCGTCAAAGGATAAATTATAATAAGGTTGCCCAATTTAATCTCAGCATCAAATGAGCTACTGTTTTACTTTTTGTGATCGTGAGATGTGTCATTCAATCAGCGAATACCTACCTATTTTTTAAAAAGCAGCGAGTAGGGAACTAATTAATTACCCGTAAACACACATTTAGCTTACCTAAAGGATAAAATAATTTGGTTCATTCGAAGGTCTATTAACTTTAACGTGTCATCTCTAACGCAACTGATTAAGTAATTGGAATCTGAAACAAAACAAATCATTAAAATCTAATCGGAGTAAACGATTGTTGTATTGATTAAAGTCTCATTTGCACGGACTTGTACAGTTAGGGTTTCATTCCAGTTGATAATACAAGTACCTAATGGATGTTATAAGTAGGGGTGTGCAATTTTAAAACTGCAAGCAATGTTGCTTCACAGATTCATATTACATTGTACAACATCGGCACACTATTTTCTATAATTAGGTATATTCCGCACGAGTGCAAAGTTTGTCACGCGCACGTCCAAGCGGAAAGGCATTATAAGTACGTATATTAATATAATGTGTTTTCGATCAACCTCTACCATAAATGGAATTTAGGTACTCATTTGCGGGGACATAAAGATGTCACATTTGTTGAGAATACTATTTTTCGTCCACAATTTTTTTTCGGACGGACCCCATTCTAATAGTGATAAACTAGGCGGCGAGCAAACACCAGGCTATAAATGATTATTTCACTTGTGGAGAGGTTTATGGGGTAGGACTGATAAAAATCCCAACCAAATTTTACAAGCTTTTTCGAGTTTTTGAATCTTCTTAGAAATACTGGTTGAGTTTCAGAAATCCTAGAATTCTTTTCGATAACGTTTTAGGGGAAAGCTCCATAGTGAACTTCGCAATTTTAAAAATCTGGCTAGAGGCGCCCTTGAACGCTCTTAAAATTTTAAGGATTGTGTACGGCGTGAAGTTAGCCACAGCATCATCATCACAAGAAATGTGATCAAGTTCTGACTGTGAAATTGCTGCTAGATCAAAAAATTTTCGGATAAGAATTAATTGGTGTTTCGATAAATGTCACGTGCGAGATAAGCGATGCAGGTGTTCTAGAGATGTAGAGGAATGTTGAGCGTCGTCGGGAATAACGATGTTGATTTTATTAGAAGAGGTGGTTTTTGACTAAATGGAAAGAATGAAGAGTAAACGAGGCCGTTTCGAGTTATTTTGAAAGAGAGCGTATTTGTCTGTGAGATGCATTTTTGTATGCGGTTATGCAATTTTAAAAAGAAAACTGAATCGTCCTCATGTTAGTTAAATAATGCGGAAACACGTTTAATGTTGTGCAAGAAGTGTTTACACATAGAATTTTGAGTTTTAAAAGTTTCTGTTGCCAATAATGAAGAAACAATTGCTGTAATAAAAAAAGTGTTACCATCCGAGCAGCCACAAAGTTAAGTGTTATTGTCTTCGAGACAGTTGTGGTGTATTACAAGTGAATTTTTGTTTCTGAGGAGAATCTGTCAGATTCGTGTTAAAGTGTGTTTCGCCCAACATCGCATATTTCTTCTCCTGACAAGTTTATTGGATTATTACTAACAGAATTGTAATTTTTGAGATTTTTTTAATTGTTTTTAGATCGATCATTTGCAAACCGGGTGTGTTGTATTCAAAAGTCGCTTTTAGCCCAGCTTTTTACGCGACCTTCATCAAATATTTTCGGAATCTTTCCTGGGAAGTTGAATGCTAATTAAATCATAAATAGAGAGCAAGGAAAGCATTTCAATTATTGTTTCATGTACTACACCTCTACATGTGTTCATGGTTAATTCAGAATTTACAATGAAATACATCCCAAGTTTTAAATTTAAATTTAAGTTGCTTACATGCTAATTTATTTCTCTAAAAGGCATTATTATGCTGGTTACTCTGTAATTGGACGCAAGCCTGTTGAGGGCCCAGAACAAGAGAGGGAAAATAAATAAATAAATAAATTATAAGCGTATACATGCTATTTATATCACAGCGTTACTTCCTTAACGTAAGTTACGTTAGTATGCAGGAAATGCTGATGGTGGTGGCTTATGGTTGACCAAATCAAAGTTTCTACGTAGTCCGGTCGCCGGATTGCGAAAGGGTGTGCCATATTTACCTGTACTGGTCGGAGATTTCCCACTAATGGTTACACCGTGATTCTGCCTTCCGGGTTGACTAGATTTTGTGCTCGCAGTCGCCAGTATTTTCGTCGCACCAATGGGAATGTGAGTTGATTCCCGCCATGAAGGGATCTGGTATGGGTATCTTTTACGATTAATGTGACCGACTGTCTTTTTCCATCTCTTTTCCTCCTTTGTAAAGGTTTCCATCTTGTAGTGGTTGTAGTTTGTGGGGTTACTGTTAAAAGCCTGTCCGCCAATATTGATTCACAGAGCTCCAACCGCGGTAGGGGGTTTTATTCAACTTGATCGGAGCCACATTAGATTTTTCCGATAACCGTAAGGTTTTTATTTGGCCATTTCCACACAAATCTTCTTGTATTTTTGGGCCAGTCAGCATTATCTCGTTCTAGTTTTTTCCTGAACTGAAAGTAGCTGAGGCGTCAAACACGTTGTGGTGGAGGTTTCCTCTTTTAACACCGCATGGTAGGGAATGTAGTATTTTGCAAGTGCCTCCCCTGCATTTCAAGGTAGCACATGTCTTCATACTCTCGCAGAAAACCTTGTACCTGGCGAGCGGTTGCACTGTTCAATTCCACAGATTCTCTTTTCAGCGGCAGACTTACGGTGGGCGAAGTGTGGGCGCTTGTAAAACTCTTTGGCGTAGTAATCATGTCCTGGCTGTTGTTGAAGGCCCATGATGTGTGAGTTACATTGTCTGAATTGCGAGCTCGATCCGCCCCGTTGTCAGCGTTTCCATCGCCATATTTGCTATTTTGGGCACTCCAACTCAAAATGTAGCACTTCACTGGCACCGGAACTCTTATGATAACGCGGCAACAATTCGTTGAAAGGCTCGAAGGACCAAATATAGAATCCGGCTCGAATGACCAAATGTAGCGTTAGGGGATTATCTTATAACTCAAACCCGGTACGTTACCGACAGTTCGAAGTGGGTAACTATATATTTATATTTATTGTGAGCTAATTTGCATAATTATGCTATTTATATCACAAATATGACTAAGTCAATTTTCTTTTCCTACTGATCGTCATTTTATGAACAAACTTTACTTATGACACCTTCGTGTGAGAAGTTCCTATTATTTAAACAACGTTCAATAATATTATCGACCTAGTAAGTTTTAAAGTGTCTCATGGCCAAATTTGAAAATAAAAGCGAAGAACAAATACATTGTGTAAGACGCTACCAAAATGCGAATAAGAATAGAAGGCGCGAGGCCAATGAAATCATTATTCAATAGATGTATGGATTTGCCCTAACTTACTAAATTAGATTTATGTATAAAACAAGCAATAAACGAGCTTAAAGAAATGAGCGAAATTTGTACTAAATGTAGACAATACCTTTAGCAAACTTTTCGAAAATACGAAGTCGATTAGAACAATATGCAAATTTCTGCTTAAGCTCAAAGCTTCGAAGTTTATTTTTTTATTCGGTTCTGTTTTCCGGAGCGAATTGTCTTTATTGGAATGCATTCAGTTTGCAAACTGCTACTTCCAACTAATGTAAACTAATTATGTAAATTTCGGCACCTGATAAAATAAATCTGAGTTGTTCACAAGCGTCCGCGTCTCGAATTAAAATAAAACACTGCCGATAACGTTCCCGGTTTGCAACTTTGCTACATAAATCAGGATTCGGGGCCTCATTAATGCAAGTCCAATGCATTAAGGAAGAGGATTCTATTAAAATGCTATAATCTGAATATAGATTTTAAGTAACGTTACAGTAACTCCGCCGTCAAGTTCCGAAATATGGCCACAACTTCGCTTAAGGATAAGGGTCGTCCGTTTATTAACTGCAAGCTTTTAGACTAAACAAAGTTACTTAATCGATATTTGCATACGCAAACTTGATGTCAGTGGCTCGGTATGTACCAAAACAATTTGTTGTATGCATAGTTCACTATGCAAAAAGGCCAAATGAAACTATTCTGAAACTACTTCAAAGAAAAGGTTTCAAAATGCTCAAAGTGGACAAAGATTTCATTGACGTCTGCATATTCTCATGTGATTAAAGTACGCAGGGTGTCCATTTTTACACCTCATCATGGGCATTTCAATCTTTATAGATTAAACGGAACAAAAGACAACCCTTAAATTGAAAGGAAGAACTTTTGGGTTTTAGATTGGATAAAACCAAATTTCGAATTTTTTTAAATTTTAATATGACAAAGCAGTAAATAAAAACTTTGTTGAAATAATTTTTTAATGGGAATGTAAATATTGTTTGTGGTTTGCAATTTAACAACGGATGCGTATGCAACTTATTTTATTTATGGGCATGAAATTTAAGTTTGGGATTTTCACGGTAGAGTTCCTTCCTCATTGAAATATGCCACACAGTAGATTCACATACTTTTATTTTAAACCAGACTTTCACACCTCTACAACACGCCAAAATTGGAAACATCTCTTATTTCGAAAATTCTTTGTATTTTGTCAAAATAATGTATGCCGTTAATTTGCAAACTAAATTAAAAGCAATATATTCAAATTAAGAATCTAATACTGCCATAATCAATAAAGGTACCATTACACTTTGTAAAATGAAAAATGCCAAATTGAGTTATATTATATTCTTACGAAAATTGAAAGAGTTGGCTCAATAGTCTTTCCTTTTCAGATTCGGCTTCAATTTTTTATTTATACAGGGTGTCCATTATGTATGGAATATACTATACATGTCGGTAAATATCGAATGTATACAAAAATTGTCTATATGAAACTTGTTTAACAGTTTATTTCCCATAATAAGGCAGCATTTCAGAAAACAAATGAATAACGAAAAACAATTGAATTTTTTATTATGGGAAATAAAATGTTAACCAACTTTCATATAGAAAAATTAAAAACCTCCTGAACTTAAATAGAATTTCGATTTATGTTAGGAAGGAAACTTTTAGAGTTTACCTCGTACCCATTAACGACGTTTATTGATTGTGATGATGATGACTGATGAGCATACCACAAACATAACAACAAAAATTACCGAAATTCAAGAAAAGTTCTTACCTCGTGAAAGATCAAGCGATGTCACTTTGCCCTGCAAACACATGTCGTGGGTTGGGTAGTCCGACCTGATGTCCCAGAATCTGACAGTTTTATCGAAATGCCCACTAATGAATGTCGTACCGGCCCCATCTACCGTAACTAAATCGTTACAAGAGGAACCAGCAAATTTGGTGCCGATACCTGAAAAAGAAAATCACTTTTACAATGTATGTATATGACGAGATGTACATCTTGATTTTGACTTAAAAATTGCTACGGGGGTTTATATTAACTCTCTGCGATACTTTGTTAATTAACCATTTACTTTGTTTTGTTTAAAACATGAAAATTGCAATCAGGAAATTGTCACAAAAATGAAATAACTTGCTTCGGTAACTAGTTCAGTGGATTCGATTTTTTATTTTTTACGTGTCATGGGTTGGTTTGCTCCAGGGACCTCCCACAGCTGAAATAATAACTGAAAAATGGAATCCTGGTAATTTGTACTGTCCAATTCAATAAGAACGACAGAAATAGTTATTATATTATTGTATATTGAATGAAAAACAGATACGTTAACTAGTTGGAAACTTAAGTAGGCATTTCCTTAGAGACAATTTGTTTATGAAATAATTTAAACCTGAAATTCCTACCTAGTGCGGACATGAATAACTACTTCCTAAAGAAAAAATGACTTATCTCTTTCTTAAATGTAAATGGTTCAGTAGGTTGTACTGCAAAAGCAGTTTATTTTGCTTTAAATTGACGCAGCAAATTATGGAAACCTTGAATTCCCTTGGATTCCAGAAAATATAAAATAATCTCTAAAGACTGGTCACAAACTCGATCGGAGATTTCTTTCGATGCGAATACAAAAATATATAAAATTGTGTTTTGCGACACCTTTATGATCCGGTTCTGAATTTAATTGGTCTAGTAATAGTTCAAAATTGGTTTCTTTAAAAGACAATAAAATTGTCGATCAGAATTTACAATTGTCGTTGGTGTTGAGATCTGGGTGGTTTACAGTTCACGGGGATGATTCATTACATTGGTATAGTTGACAAGTGATTGTTGGAAATGCATTCTTAATCCGACGACATGGATGATTGACTCCGATTATACAGCTTTCGGATAGAAAACATCCTGGGCGATGATCAATTGGTTAGTGGTTTCGGTTGTTGTTCTATTGGTCAGTACACAATTTTGGGGTTTGGAAAATGAGAGGCGAGTATGAGCTTAACTCGCTTTTAAATGTTTGTTCCTGACTTAGCAGTTTACTGTGTGGGAAAGTCATTTCACAAACTTTTCACTTTGATTAACTTTAAACTTCTTAAACGAGTCTTAGCATGTCTTCCTGTCCAGTGTGTATGAGTAGAAGTTTTCCACTGTTTCGTTCTATCGCCGGTGCCAGTTCAGGTTCCTCTGCTTCATCGTTTGGTACTGCGGTTTCTGCCTGATGCTCCGGTTGCTGATGTTTAACGTTTTCCCATCCGAGATTTCCGCCGTTTCTACCAACCTTTTCTTCTCCATCTTTAACGTTTCCAACTCATTGTACATCTTGGGATCCTGTTGTATTCCTCATCCGTTTCTTCCGCATCGAACCAATTCTCTTTTTCATAGATTTCAACATCTGGAACGTCTGTTGTGTATGATGGTTTTATAGGTTTTTTCACTTTTGTCCACTTCTCTTGATTTTTAATTAAAAAATTCGTCTTCTCTTTGAACGCGTTTCCGAATTTTACATCTCGTGTGATGTCGATAATCCTCTCGTCTGGGATCCACATTCTGTACGCCTCAAACATCCCTGAATACCCGATAAATAATCCCTTTCTGGATTCAGGTTCGAATTTCCCTGTTTCGTGTGTACACCTTTTATCCAAATTCGCGGAAATAACTAACGCTTGGTATTTTTGTATTGTAGTCAAAAGTTCATGTGACGTTTTTCCTCATGAACTTCTTGATGGACATCGATTACTGGTGTAGTCGGCCCTGTGGATGACATCGCCCCAGAAAGATTGAGGCAATCCATCCAGACTAGATCAACATGCATCGCGCCATCTCCACTAGTGTACGATTTCTTCTCTTGGTGATCCTATTCTATTGTGGTGTGTGTGACGGTCAATCTCCTCCAAATTTGTTATTAGATACTCATCGAAGATCTTGTTCACGTATTAGTTTCAGTTATCGGATTTTATTTTTACTTATTTATTTATTTATTTTTTATGGCCTTGTTTTTATAGTGGGCGGAGTGTTAGCTAATTAGCTACTCTTCCCATTCAACCCACTATACAATCACAAACAGCCATGCCTTACCTGGGATTCGAACCCAGGACCCTTGTAGCCAAGGTTTGAGCTACTAACGTCAACTCATCTAAGCTACGCAGGATTGTAAGTACTTGTCCGATTCTCGACCTGCACTTTGTAATTCTTGAACGCCTTGAAAACGTCACTGTTTCTTCTTTTCTAAACGACGCGACGTTCTTTTCTAATCACTTTGTATTTAAACTCGCTCCCAATTTTCCACGGCTATAGGAATCGGGGTTGGAAAATTGAGAGTTCAAAGTGCTGGTCCGGGTTACTCAATTCGCAGCAGGGTTCGGTAGTGAAACCAGTTGAAAACGGAGACCGCTTAATACATATTTGTTCTTCAATACAAAAAAATAATGAAACAATAAATTTAAATTAGCACGCCTATGTTGACTGGCTCCGCACGTCAATGGGTTGTTATCGAAGTTGACGGTCAGTGTCACACCTCCAGTTGACGGTGAACCCTTATCGGAATCGGGTGCTTGTGTTTGTTAAACTCCTTTAACAATCGGAAGGATAATTAACGCCTACCTAAATTATAAGTAGTTAATGAAATTAATGTTCAAAGAATAGGCGAGTGACCTTATTGTTTATTATTCAGTATAATAATATTCGTGGATTCTACCTTTGTAGAATTCCCGTAATATGACAAAAAATGAAACGGTTCCAAAACAAAAAAATGTAATTGAACCAATTAACAAGGTTTTAGTTAAGGGAAAAATAAAATTAGAATGGATTTTTAATTAACTCAAAAGGTATCAGGAATCTGGAAATTAGTAATAAATCGGGATGGTCCTCAGAACATAGGTACAAAGTACCGCCCTTTAATTTATTTCGGAACTGAAACACAATAAATGATCAAGAAAAACCTGAAATAAAGAGAGGAGCAAGCACATTGCAATCGCTCCACACGAAGGAGTTGACACCAAAGAAAACCTTAAAATTTACTTTACAATGGCATCTGCACAGATTATCTGGAATACGACAAACTGAGCCTTCAAACAAATAGTCAATTACTTCATAAAATTAGCGTACAAAAGGTACACGCTTTTTAACCCGTCGTGACTTGAATAACAGATGATACGTTGATGTTTAGAGGAGAAGAGCATCCACTACAGGATTGCTTATGCCAAATCCTCCATTTTTTATTGGTAGATGCAAAAGATTAGATTCATCTTTATTCACTTCACCTTTAAGAAGGGATGGAAAAAAGACTGTTCGGATTGTCAAATATATCAATTTCAAGTATAATTTGTTGTATAAATTTACATACGGCCTGCATTGCTTTAGTAATAACAGCAGTCCAATAATCAACTTTCGTTTGAATAAATTTCGTTTTTTGAGACAAAGTATCCATATGTTCCTAACATTCTCATACATTCAACTTTTCTTAATGTGAAAGTCTTTAAATTTTTCATGTGCCATTGTGTAATCATCAGGATGGACGACTAGGTTTTTTGGTCCAGAAATCTTTAAGACATCCCACCATCATAAAATATCAAGATGTCCTTGGCAAGAGGCATCATCCTGGGCATGTTCCTGGTGGTATGCGCGGAGGAGTGTTCCCTTGCTGCTGATGAGGTCGGACAGAGGGATGAGAGGCTAAATGGTGCATTTGCCAAAATTCGCATCGCAACTCATGAAGAATCGCTCCTGGCAGCGTACAGTACATCCCAAACAAGAACTTTTCCCTTGCATTGACTTGCACTTCATCCTGGGATGCATCAGGGTTTCGAAAGTTTTTGGTAGCATCACAAACTTCATCTTTCCCTGTCGCATCCACTGATCGCGTGGACGAAGAGAAGGTGCTCCTGGAGAGAACAATTTTGGATGAGGGATCCTTCCCCGTTTTTTTTTAGTAAATATGCGAAAAATTGTTATGACAACTCCTGGAGGGATACAAACAAACCTTTTTTTGTACCCCCCCCCCTCCTTTAAGGTCTAATATTACTGGACTACTACCTTAATTGTCTTGGAGCCATGAAAGTTTTTTTTGCAATTCTAAACAAAAACGTTCATGCTTTTAAATATAAGTTGTCAAAAAGGGAAATCCTCTACCGAAAAGCTTTTAATAAGTAGTTCAAATGTGCTATCTAACGAAGTGTTTTTGAGAGTATGCCCTACAGAAGGTGGTTAGTTCCAACTTTATGTGTTAACACTACTCTGAAACAAATCAAAATCAGATTTGAGCCTATTGTTTTTGGGTCTTTTACAGCTTTATAGGTGTAAGTATCTAAACAGTGCAGGTGAAATATGAGGGTTCTTTTATAATTTGTTCGTTCATAAACCCATCGCTTGAATTTACTACATGCTGAGGACTATGGTGGGACAATGCTGATAAAGATAGAATGGATTATATATTTATTTGTAAATTAGTTCCAGAGTTACAATCCCGACACTGTAGTAGAGATTATTGCATTTAGTTTAGTAATCCCAAGCTTCAGTCATGAAAATCATATTCAATTAAAATTGAAGCCCTACATTCCAATTAAAATTAAATTCAATTAATGAAGCAAAGGATTTTCGCAATTAAAAAATGGCATGTTGAAATTGTTTTTTTTATTAAATACGCAACCTAAAAAATAAATTTCAAATTCAGATATTTTTAATTCGCTTAAAAATTATCTTTGATATTAATAACGTAAGCTAACGCCTTCAACATCGTAGATGTGATAGAAGCAGCGATTAACATCGTTACGAGGCATCTACAACCGCGTTTCAAATCATGGGGGTTGGACTACATAAAATACACGGGATGTTTGCAATGTGTTTTTGCGTTTCGATTGTTCGCCTGATAAATGTTTCCTTATTGATTCCAGTTGCGGAGACATTCACAGTTAGCGCCAACCGATAAAGTGGCATAATCGTTAATTTAGAAGCTTCGTCCAAAA